GGGCACTGATGAGTTTCAGTGAACTCCCAATGCACATCTGGACACTGGACACCCAGGTGCATCATCCAGTGCACATCACAAGTGTCCAATGGCCATCACAAGTGACCAGTGTACATCACAGGTGCATCTAACACATCACCAGAGCCCAATGAGCATGTGAAGTGCCTAATGGGCCTCATATGCCCAATGCACATCATGGATCCAGGACACATGAGAAGTACCCAGTACACACCAGAAGTCTCCAATGCACACGACAAGTGCCTGTTTCACATCACAAGAGCCCATGAAGTGAAGTGATCATCAGGCAACGCAAGTGTCCAGTCCACATCATGTACCCAGTGCACATTGGAAGTGCCCAATGCAGATCACACGTGTCCTGTGCACAAGTACTTCTTTCACATGACAAGAATCCATATGAGCATGTGGAGTGCCCAATTCATATCACAAGGGCCTGTTTCATATCACAAGAGCCCAGTGAGCATTTGGAGTACCCAGTGCACATCAGACGTGTCCCACATGCATCAGATGTGTCTGATGCGCATCAGGAACACCAGATGCACATAAGGAGAACCAAAGTGGAGCACTTTTGCCAATGCCCCAGTGTGCATCTTCTCCATTCACTGACAGGGTTTCCTTGCGTTCCTACAACTATGGATATGTGAGGTTTAGAAACATAGACCAGGATACAGAATTTCTGCCAAGGCCAATACGGGACATTTCTTACCCTCTGGACACAACTCCAAGGGGAAGCTGTTCTGACCCCTTAGGAAAGCAGGGCCTTTTTGAACAGTTGAATATTTCTGCAGCTCTTGGTGGTGACTCTAATCCAAGCAAAGGAAAAGAAAGGAAAGGCTAAGGCTGGTGGTTGGTGGAAGGGGAGGGAGCCGAGGCATGCGCTTTGTGGCAATTAAAACCTCCGGTATCTCGGCCCAACAGGAACAGAAAACCGAATCCCAGAGCAATTAAAAAGAGATTGGCGATAAGCCTCCAGCGCCAGCTCACTTCTCTTTCCCGGCCCCCCATCGGACCACCCAAAGAGCGAGGAATGGCCAGTGGCTCAGTCTCTTTTCATTAATACATGTACCGACTGAAGGAGTTTTCTTTTCCCAAAAAAAGAAGCCCCTTTGAAATGATAATTAGGCTTGGCAGGAGTTGGAGGGCTTAAAGGAAGAGTTAATGGCATTCGGGAAGGTAAGGATTGCCTTTTGGAAAGCATCTGCAGAACCTGGATATTTCCGTTGCTGGTTCTTGGTATGAGGGTCAGTGGAGATGCTGCCATTTTGATTTCAGAACATCAGGGGACATCTGGTCCTTCTGCAACAGCCTTCCACAACCTGGCTCTTTTGGCATGATTTGGCCTTCATGAAGTTAGAGAACCCCACCTGTGCATTTGCTAAGAACCTTCTCTGAAATGCAGTCCATTTCTCAGGCTGACAAAATGGTTCCCCACCCATCAGCCGACAGTTTCTCCACCATCTTGACCATTGGTCATGCTGGTTGGGGACGATGGGCGTTGTAGTCAAAAAAGGCTGTTCCCTATCCGCGCAGGCTTTGCAAAGAATCCAAAGTGGCCAAGCTAATGCACTAACCTAATTCCTTTTGTGCTCTCATCCGTTCGCCCGGGAGACTCTTTCATGCTCCGTCGTAAATTATTATTCATAATGTCTCTGAAAGGGAAGAAAGGCAGGTGAAGAGACAGCAGACTTGTCATTCCATCTGCAGCCGGTAATTACAGGAAAGTGGGTCGGATTAAATGTTTCATTGCAGCCAGTCTCTGGCACCGCCAAGAACAGCTGGCTTTGCAAAAATCCATCCTCCGTGACTCCCCAGCCAAAAAAAAAAAGTCAACCCAGATGTCCACAACAACCAGAGTTAGGGAGAATTTACTTTTTTGGACTCCAGCTTCCAGAATCCCATTTGCCATGTTAGTATGTAGACAGATCTTGTAGCACCTTTGAGGCTCACTGAAAGAAAGAAGTTGGCAGCAGGAGCTTTCGTAGACAAAAATCTACTTCATTGCTAAGTGCACTAAGTGCATCTGAGGAAGTAGACTTAAGTCTAGGAAAGCTCATGCTGCCAATCTCTTTCAGTTAGTCTCCAAGGTGCTACAAGATCTTTCTACACAGTGATTCCACAGACTAACATGGCTATATCTTTGAATTCATTTGCCATATTAGTTTGTTTTGGCTAATTAGTTACAGATCATCTTTATGAGAGTGGAACTGACTCCCTTGGAGGATGATGGACTCTCCATCTTTGGAGGAATCCATTGGTTCATATTGTAGTCTCTGCAGCAGCAGAAAACAAGCTCGCTCCATCTTCTGCATGATATTCCTTCAGGTATTTAGAGATGGCCAGTGTGACATAGTGGCTTGAGTTTTGGACTAGAACTCTAGACATGTTCCAGTTTGTCCACATTGTTCTTGAACTGTGGTGCCCAGAACTGGACACAGGACTCCCAGTCAACTCTGATGAATAAAGTGGCACCATTACCTCTGAACACTATACAGTTGCCCCTCTGTTTTCATGGGGGGTCCGTTCTGGGCACACACACCCACACAAAAATGGAAAAACATCAATATTCAAGCCCTATTGGCTTGAATGTCAACGCGAGACCGTAGGCGTCCATGGGCACCCACGAGCATACACCACGGGGCCCCTGTCAGTGTGTGGATGATGGGTGTTGCAGTGATGCTCTTTGACACCCAGAAGAATCTGCACTGACAAAAGGTTATGGGCCCAGTACACTTCCGCTGCGATACTCTACTCTGAGTGGCTGCAGCCAGCTTGTCCTGGGTGTCAATGAGCATCACTGCAACACCCATCATCCATACACTGACACCCCTGTCCCATTTTAATCCCCTCCATTTGCCCTCCCCCTTGGAAATGGACAAGGGATGTGGACTTGAAGTCCATGAAAATGGAGGAGCAACTGTACTCCCATTGACCACAAAATAGCATTTGGGGCCACATATAGTCTATGGTCCACATTTTCTTCACAAACAAACACTCAACAAGACTCCAGTTTTTCAAAGTGCATGGACAGAATTACTTTGTTGTCTATAGATAAATTATGGTTCAACGCTGATCCCTCTCTGTCTCTCTCTTTCACACACACACACATCTACACACACTTTCTTTCAGCTCGACTGACCTCTAATTCCAAATCTCCATCCACCAGACCTGTGGTGTTTTCTATTAAGGAAACAACAACCAAAGACATTAATGACTCTCTTCTCTCCCTCTCCCTTTCTCCTTCTCCTCACTCAAGGACATACAACTTGACTTTCCTGCATCCGTACTATCGACCGGAGGAAGGAGAAGAGAATCCGTTCATCTGTTCATCCCACCGGGATAATGGCATGCAGAAATGTTCCAGCATCCCAATCCGGAAGGAGTACAAGGTGGAATGTACTTTGAGCATGGACTCTTACAACCCGAACTCATATCCTCTGGACTTCGGCAGCCGAAACGGCTGCATAAACTGGAACCAGTATTACAACGTTTGCAGGACGGGCGACTATAACCCGCACAATGGAGCTATTAATTTTGATAATATTGGCTATGCTTGGATAGCTATTTTTCAGGTAAGGATCCCTTTTCCAATTTCCTCCTTTCTTTCATGGGTTACCCACGAGCGTCTGAGAAGCAAGTCTGCTTGCGTAAGATAAGCAAGCCAAGTGTTTTCTAAATATTAGAGAGGGAAGTCGCCATTTGTGTTACCCTGATTTGTGACATTTCAAATGTATTTACAATAAGTATCACCCACATTGCATAGTTATCCCACCGCACCTGGGCAGGTGAGTGAAGAAGATGAACTGAGAGATCAAGGCTGTTTGAAGTTTCAGCATCCCGCTTTGAGCAGCTAAAAGAAATGTTTGGACTGGTTTTCTTTTACCTGCCTAGGTTGCGGGAATGGGGCAGAAAAGCAACAGCAGTCTTGGTGTTGTTGGAAGGAAAGGTTTCCTTTGGTGGCTTGGAAGGAGAGCCTGAAGAGGGGAGAGAAACTGAATTCTTGCCATCATTGGAGGAATGAGTTTTCTTTGCCTGCTTAGAAGTGGGCATGAGGGGGATGAAGAAACTGGAATCTTGCTTTTTGAAGCATGAGTTTGCTTTGCCTGTTTAGAAGGGGACATAAGGGGGGATGAAGAAACTGGGTCTTTCTGTTGTTGGTGGAATGAATTTCCTTTGCCTGCTTAGAAGGGGGCATGAAGGGGATGTCGAAACTGGAATCTTGGAGTTGTGTGTGGCTTGAAGGGGTTTCTCTTTTCATCAACAAAACCACTATGAGGAACAGCTTAGGACTCTGGGTATGTTTAATTTGGAGAAAAGACAGAGAGATGAGGTGGTGGCCATCTTTAGATACCTGAAAGGAGGTCATGTGTAAGATGGAGAGAGCTTGTTTTCTGTTGCTCTGGAAACTAGAAGACAAATCAATGCATTGATGTTACAAGAAAAGAGATTTCACCTAAATATTAGGAAGCATCTCTTGGCTTTAAGAACTATTTGGCAGTGGAACAGACTGCCTGAGAGGCTGGTGGAGTCTCCTCCTTTGGAGGTCTTTAAACAGAGGTTGGATGGCTACCCTTCAGGAGTTGTATATTTCTGCATGGCAAGAGTTTTAACTAGATGGACCTTGCAGCCCTAGCCAACTCTTGGTTGTCATTGTGTGGCTTCAAGTTGTTTCCAACTTATGGTGACCCAAAAGCAAATCTATCCAACTCTGATTCTAATCTATAGATATACCTCAGTTAACAAATGTAACACCTTGTCGGGTGCTTAGAGTAATGTGTGAAGTAACCAGTTCCTGTTAAAAGTTAGCATGCCAAGCCCTGGCCTAAATATGTGTTGTGTGCCTTCAAGTTGTTCCAACTTATGGTGACCCTAAGGTGACCCTATCTAGGGGTTTTCCTGGCAAGATTTGTTCAGAGGAGGTTTGCCCTTGCCTTCCCCTGAGGCTGAGAGAGTGTGACTCACCCAAGGTCTCCCAGTGGGTTTCATGGCTGTGCTGGGAATGGAACCCTAGCCTCCAAAGTTGTAGTCCAGTACTCAAACCATTATGCCACAATGGCTCTATGGAGAGGGGTTTTGCTTGCTTTTTGCAATAACACGAG